AAAATATTTACAAAAAACAGTCTATGAAATCCTGTATGGCCTTTAGAATGTAAGAGTTTGCTTTTTTTTTAAACCTATTCTGTACTAAGGGACCTATTCACTAAGCCATGTACTTAAGTAATTTGGAAAAGTATAAGTATCCCATTCAACTGCAGACACAGCTTGCCTCTTTCAGAATGAATTTCTACCACAACTCACTGGTTTGTGAAAAAATCCCGACATTTTCAAACATAGTTTAAAGTGAGATTCACAGTGTAAGCTTTTGAGCAGGTTACTTTAAAACAATTGTATCCGATTTTACTGTCTGTCAAATTTGCTCTGTCATTATAACCATTGCTCTATGTTTCTAGGAATGATAATAACAATAATGCGTCTGTATGCAGCCATTGTTCAGTCCATTCATCCAACTTTTTGACGTTTAGAGCTATCATCAGAAACAATCCTGTCTAGGATATTTTTTCTTAGTCTAGGACTCTCTCCTGACCCTCATCCTCCAAAGTGGCACGTAAAATGGATGGGTGGGGTGCTCAGCTAAATGGGAATCCAGACCAGATTTCTATTGAGCTGAGCAGCCCACCCATCCAGTATGGGTTGACCACATGGAAGCATTATATGAGCAAAGTCCCTTCCATGTTAAAATTAGGGTAAAACCCACTAATATTGTGGTTCTGTGACGTAGTAGTGGGCTTAACACAATATGGTAATATTGTGTAAGACAAGTGATTTTAAGTAGCCTTGTGAAATGTAACATTGGAGAGAGGGAGAGAGAGAGAGTGTGTGTGTTTTGTTCCTTAATCTGTATTTTGAACAACAATCTATACACAAAATTACTGTTTTGCACTAACTTAATTTGATAAAATGTTACAAATAAAAAAAAATTCCTATTAAAACTCTGTACTGTAAGGGTTAAAAGAGCAGGGCAATTTACAGTAAACATATTTTGTAGGAATTTAAATTGATTCATAATAGACTATATAGTAATCCTATTTTCATTGCTCAACAGGGAAGGGAACATGTTGATGATAAATATCTTTCATTTTATTATTACATTTCAAATTACATCAAGCTAACATCCTACCCAGACCAGCTACAGGCCATAAATTTTATGATTAAATGTTAATGCCAGTGTTATATTTCTCCCTCAAGAAAAAAATATTGTTATTTAATATTTTTATTTGGAAACCAATTATTAATTTTGGTGTACAAAGTTATGACTTAGCATTTACTAGGTATCATAATCAGCCTGACTGTATTTCTAATATTTTTTTTCAGTAACCCATTGTACACAAAGAATTTTGACTGTTTATAACTTTGCTGCTAAAAATAGACACAATCTTTCCTTCTGTATAGTCAGTAAATAAAGTACCATGTTAAAGGGGAATGCTCAATTACCTGGAAATTATATACACGCACGTGATAACATTTGCGTACTACTTCTGTGCCAACTTGCTAAACCTTGGCCATTGTATCTCTATGTCAGGATTACAGTATGATCCAGCACGTCGAATTGTGTAACATAGTGGACTGGTAGGTAACGAATACCGGACCTTAGAATGGCTGGACTAACGTACCAAAGAATAGTCAGAAATAGCAGAGGTCAAGGGGTACAGAAAGAGACACAACGATAAGGAAAAGCCAGGGGTCAGGGATGCCAGAAAACAGGGAAGTCAATATCAATGCCAAAGTCAAATAACCAGAAAAAACAGAATCAATAACGCGCTCTCAGACAACCACAACGGAAACCACGACAGGGCACAGAGCAAGAGGAGAACTGGGCCTATATACCCCGTCTGTGGATCTGATTGGTTGTAACCGGCCTTTGACCTCAAAGGCAGTTACCAGGTTCCTATTTGCATGATTGCTGCTCAGCACAAACCCTCCTGTGGATTGATTGCTGCTTGGCACAACTTTTCCTATCAGGACAGTAAATGCCATTACTCACATTTTTATGTGCAGATGAATACCTGATTGCAGCATTGCTTACCTTGCCATGCCAAAGCTGAAAGCAACGCCAATCTCACATCCACAATCCCAAACCTGCAGCCCACTTTCCTTGCAACATGGATGCGAAAAAATAAACATGTGTTAATGATGCAATAAACTAACCGATGTTCATGATCTTTTTAAGTCTTTTGAACTAGTAACAGAGGGAAGCTATGAAATTTGCATATCAAACATCTCTAATCCATCTCTAATCTAGTACTAACATTCAAGCAAGCCCCCAATGTACAAGGCATAAAGTAACCCCCTGTGGTCATTTTTACCTTATTTGGGCCTCATGAGTAAAGTGTACCTGATACCCTTGTGGTCAATGTGGGGATTACTCCTTTTGATTTAGTTGGACTCTAGACATAGACTTGTCTATGAATAATTATCATTGGGCACAAACAACTGTAAAAAGATGTGATTTTGTCCTGATATTTCCCCATCTGCACCCATCAACTTACTCGTAAATAAAAATAAATAAATATATATATATATTTTTTTTTTTTTTTCATTTACAACTAATATTAAGGTTCTTTTTCAATTTTCCTACACCGGATCCAGCTTTGCTGTTCTTTTTCAGAAAGATTATTACACTATCCCACCTGACTTAAAGGCCCAGTTTGGGTGTCATGACAACTTCATCAAATTTAAGTTTTTGTGGTGCTAGGAGGTCCCTGGCGCTGGCTCACCTTAAGGTGTTAAACCATTTTCCAATGGTTTAACCCCAAAGTCTGTGTTCCACCCCGAATCTCTCTGCCTCTCTGTCGTTCTGTTTTCTCAAAATCGGGAAACCATAGGTCTCCTGCAGAATTGGCGGTGGCACCGCTGATTGACTAAGATGTTCAGCTGACACTCTCAGCCAATCAGTGACTCCCAATTCATAAAACTGGCTTGAAAAAAAAAATTACAGCCAGTTTATGAATGGTAAGGCATTGATTGACTGAGAGCGTTGGTTCACCGCTCTTAGTCAATCAGCGAAGCCACTGCCCGATTCTGCAAGAGCCTTCTGGTTTCCCCAGATTTTCAAATGAGGAAAGGACAGAGATGCAGGGAGATTTAGTGCAAGAGCACAGACTTTGGGGTAAACCGTAAAAGAATTCTGGCAAACACAGGGACATAAATAGGTGCAATAGGTCCTTATCCTGCACTTCTTATCCTGCTATTAAACCTCAACCTCTGCATATAGATATTCAAAATTAGATTATTTTTTTTTGCTTTATTCTTCTACTTTGCAGGACCGATCTTTGGGATTAGCAGTGAAGGTGTTTAGTTATTGTAGTGCATAGATAGCAGTAATTAAGGCTTACGTTATCACGACTATACCCTATATTCTAGCTTCGCTAACCTTCTGATATCCAGAAATGGAACCTTGTATAAAAGCTTGTATAAAACTTGATTTACCTCACCCTTTTAACTACTCTTTATGCACTGTCATTATATATTCGCTTTTGCTTAATAGATAAACTGCGATACAGAAAGGCATTTATCTACCGGTCTAGATTTCATTATATCTAGACATTTAGGTGATATCCCCATTTCTTTTCCATCTGTTTTCCACCTACAAGATATATCTAGCTGCAGAGATAATTGCTACAGACAGCTACTTATCTCTATTCAGTTACACTTCTTACTCAGGGGCTCGATTTTATTAAAGACACGGAGGCTCATATTATGCATAACTCTTTCTTTATTTCCTCAGCAGCAAAGATAGAGGAATATAAATATATCAAAAATGAAAGAAAAAACTGCATAGATACACAGGCAACCAATCACATAACAGAGGAAGTGACTATATAAAGCCTGTGTCTCCCACAATCCCCCTCTTTCTTTGCTGCTTCCTCAGACAGCTAAGTACCTTGCTTGATCCACTGTATTTTATTTGGTGTACTTTGCATTTACTTGGTGTTATGCTGTACTGATGTTGTACTTTTATTATGGTTATGTGATATTTTTGCACTGTGCTTATTCTCACTTCTTTTGAGTGTGTGATATCCTACTCTGTTTTTCTTCTGTCAGCTGCCTGCTTGGTGCAGCTCCTATCCTGTCCCCTGCGCTGGTGCCTCCCTCCCCTCACCCCGCCCGCCGCGACCGCTCTGTCGGCCGGCGGGTGCTATTCAGTCCCAGGTCGGCTTTCAGCCGCGGCTCTCTCTGATACTGCCGCGGCTGTGCTCTGTTTCCCTTGATCGCGGGCTGCCCGCGCGGGTAGGGTGCGCGCGCCCCTTCCCCCGCCGGGGTCCTGACCGCGATCAATCTCCTGCACGTGCGGCGGCCATTTTGGGCGGTCCGTCGGCTGATCGGTCGCTCACTCTGCTGCTGCCGTGCGGCCTGTCTCCCCGGTCTGGGTCCCCTGAGTGCACCAGCGGGCAGGTTTCTTACTGTGTTCCTCTGTGGGTTACTCAACCCTTTTACCATCTAGTTTAGTTTATTCTAGCTACCTTCCGTTTTTGCTTATCTATATATTTCGATTTCTTAAAGTCATATTACTACAGTTTTAACTTGATTCACTTAAAGGTGTATTCCCCTGTGGTTTCACCATGCAGGATAAGGAGGATGGGCCTGTTGGCACCCCTAGTGATTTTAATATTGATAACCCTGAGGGTGCCATGGCCTCCCAAGAATTTCAGGCCCTGTTGGATGCCACTATGGCTTCTTCATTACAAAAGGCTTTTGCTTCAGCCATGGGTGCTGTTTCTTCCTCCTTTTCTCAGTCCCTGCATTCCATGCTTATGCCCTCACTGCCTACCCCTACCCTCCAGGGTACTGGGTCCCCTTCCTCCGCCCAGACTGTGCCTGGTACCCGTAAGGTGAAGGCGAAGTCTAAGCACGTTGATTCCCACTCCTCGATGCAGGTGTTACCTGCCATGACTGACACACTGGATGTGGTCACAGACAGCGCGCACCCCACGCGCAAAAGAGCCCCTGGCCGGGCTAAAAAGGCTAGATTGTGGAAAAGGGCTAGAGCCCTAGATGATGAGTCGGATACCGACCGGAGTGTGGAACGTGACTCTGATATTATGGAGTATGACTCCTACGATGAGGGCGGGTCGGACGAGGAATTGCCCTCCGCGGAGCTTGCCCCCTCTGGGTCCTCTGCCGTTGCCCTAGGCCAAGTTAAGATCCCCCCTGGGGACAGTAAGGCCATTTTAGACCCCCAGGGAAACCCACTGTTCGACCCTGACGACCTGCGTCACCCACGGTCAGCAGAGTGGGTCCCCCCGGACCATATTGCGCAATATGTGGCTAAACGCCTGCGCACACCCCTCTCCAAGGAGGGTCGCAACAAGTTGCGTGCCGAATGCCCTAGGCCCTCTCTCCCGGGCTCGGCCTGTAAGACTCCGGATATTGACCCCCAAATCGCCCAGTTTCTGAATAAATCAGGCTGGAAGCCCAAGAAGGGTTTGGATTACTCCCTCAAGGGATGCCAAGATAAGATATTGGATACCCTGGGCCCTCTGTCTAAGCTGTACGAGCTGCTAGATGCCGCTAGGGCTGGAGACTCGGTTATGGATGTCGATGTGGCCATTGGATGGGTCCAGAGGGCGATCTGCCTCTTGGGGAATGCAAATACCGCCATGTCTTCTGAGAGGCGTAAGGCGATTCTCCTTAAAATCGATCCCAAATTGGCTGCCATGACGGTGGCGGAACCTGACCCCTCTGACGAGGGTTTACTGTTTGGAACCTCTTTCGTGAAGGACCTTGGTTCCTATGTAAAGACCTTTACGGCCATTGACAAGGCCCAGGCGAATATGAAGCGCATGTTTGCGCCCAAGGTTTTCGGAGGGGCCGGGCGTAGCAGGAACCGTCCACCCGGCCGGGGCTTCCGTGGCTCGTTCAGGGCCTCCAGAGGTTCCTTCTTTCCTTCCCGAGGATTTCAAGATACGAGGTCGCCTCCTTTCTTCCCAGCCAGAGGGAGATCCTGGGGCTCCAGGTATCCCCGTGGTGCCGCTTCGGGCAGACGCCCTTATGGTGAGTACCCATTTTTCCCCTCTCGATCATGTACGGGTGGCAGGGAGGCTTGCCTTATTCTACCATGGGTGGACAAATATAACCTCAGATGCTTGGGTTCTGCAATGTGTAAAGGGTTATCACCTGGAGTTCGTTTCTATGCCTGTCCAGGTTCGCGTCCCCAGAGAGTTGTCCCTCCCACAGGATCAGGACGTCATGATTTCCAAGGAGGTAGAGGAGATGCTCACGAAAGGTGCCATAGAAGAGATGCCGTTGGCCTCTCCGGGCTTCACGAGCAATCTTTTTCTGGTGCCAAAGAAAGGGGGCGGGGTTCGTCCCGTGATAAATCTTCGTCCCCTCAACGCATTTCTCCACTACCAACATTTCCAGATGGAGGGTATACACTGCCTCAGAGACCTCCTTCGGCAATCAGATTGGTTGGCCAAGTTGGATCTGAAGGACGCATACTTTACAGTCCCCATCGCGCTGGACTGCAGGGATTACCTCCACTTCACGTGGCACGGTCGACGCTGGCGCTTCACGTGCCTGCCGTTCGGTCTCTCGTCGGCCCCTTGGTGTTTCACCAAACTCATGAAGCCAGTAATGGCTTACCTTCGTACCCGTGGGGTGCGACTGATCGTTTACCTGGACGACATATTGATCATGTCCCAATCCAGGGAATCTCTGCTGTTACATTTGGGTTGGACAACCAACCTTCTCCAAAATTTGGGTTTTCTGATCAACTGGGACAAGTCGGTCATGATCCCTACCCAGTCTATAGAATTCTTGGGTTTCCAAGTGGACTCCATCAGGCAATTCCTGTACTTGCCGGAGTCCAAGATGAAGGCCATTCAGAAGGAGCTCCGAAGGGCTCTTCGGGTGCCGGATATGTCCGTCAGGCAACTGGCAAGGATTATCGGCCTTCTGGCGGCTTCGATTCAGGCGATCTTTCCGGGCCCGCTACACTATCGTGCCCTCCAACGACTCAAGGGTTCACACCTGCGTTCGGGCCACTCCTACGAGTCCCGAATACGGCTGGACGACGAGTCCAGAGACGAGTTGGTATGGTGGTTGGCACACATGGAGGCCTGGAACGGACGGGCCATCTTCGGCTCGATCCCGGATGTCGTAATAGAATCCGATGCCAGCTTACACGGCTGGGGTGCTCGTTGTGGAGACGTTTCCACCGGAGGCAGATGGTCCGACATAGAGAGGTCCCTACACATCAATTGTCTGGAACTGCTGGCGGGGGCCTTCGCGATACGCAGTCTGACCCCAGGCCGGGCAGACTGTTGCGTGCTCCTCAAGATGGACAATGTGTCGGCAGTCCGGTACATAAATCATCTTGGGGGCACCAAGTCCAGAATGTTGGCGCTATTGGCGAAGGATTTCTGGCAATTTTGTCTCCTCAACAACGTCTCGGTGCAGGCGGAACACATCCCAGGCCTGGACAATTCGGGAGCGGATTGGAATTCCAGGCACTTAAGAGACTCGGGAGATTGGCACTTGCACGTTTCGGTTTTCCGAGGTCTGGACAGTCTCTGGGGACGCTTCGAGTTGGACCTGTTCGCTTCACGTCTGAACACTCAACTCCCTGCGTTTTACAGCTGGAGGCCAGACCCGGCAGCAGTAGCGACGGACGCCTTTCTCCAAGACTGGCCTCCGGGACGCCTGTATGCCTTCCCACCGTTCAACATGATCGCTCGCACGATATCGAAGTTGATCCGGCACGATTGCTGCCTGGTACTGATCACACCTCTTTGGAGGTCCCGTCCATGGTTCCCACGCTTGATGGAGTTGTCGATAGACTACCCCAGACTGATTCCGAGCTTCCAGGATCTCCTCCTGGATCCGGATGGGAACTCGCACGGACTGGTGCTCCGACACCAGCTACCTCTGATGGCGTGGCTCCTTTCAGGGGTACCTGGGTTGTCCCGAACGTTTCGCGGACGACTCTACAACTCCTCGATAACGCCTGGGCTCCAGGTACGCGATCGGCCTACCGCTCTTCATGGGGCTCATGGTCTGGTTGGTGCATGGAACGGGCAGTGGATCCCGTATCTGCCCCTCTCCATCTGATTTTGGAGTACCTCACTTTTCTGTTTGATTCGGGCAAGGCGTATCGAACTATCAACCTTTTTCGTTCCGCTATATCAGCTGGTCATGTTGGTTTGGATGGTTCGCCCGTGGGCAGACACCCCTTCGTGTGTCGCCTGCTCAAGGGCATTCGCCTCGCCCGTCCGCCCAAGGCTCGTTTCTCTGCCTTTTGGGACGTTAACATTATGCTTCAGTTTCTGTCTTCCTGGTACCCGAACCAGGGGCTGACCCTTAAGCAACTGTCTTCCAAGTTGGTTATGTTGCTTTGTTTGGTTTCATGTAAGAGGGTTTCTGACGTTAGGGCCCTTGATTGGGACACCGTTACCTTCTCCCCTGAGGGTGTGACTTTTAACATTTCCAGACGGACTAAATCTGCGTCAAGGTCTTTCGTGTACCCTAGATTCCAAAGATGTCCGGCACTCTGTCCAGTGGAGTGTTTGAAGGTCTATATGGAGGTGACCCGGCCTCTTCGCTCACCAGATCTACGACCTTTGTTCATTTCTTTTCGTACACCGCATCGACCTGTGTCGACACCGACCCTGGCGCGTTGGGTGCGTTGGCTTTTGTCTGCGGCTGGTATAGACACGTCTATCTTTACACCCCATTCGGTGAGGGGTGCTATGGCTTCCAAGGCTTCGACAGTCGGCTGTCGTCTGGAGGACATCATGCGTGCAGCGGATTGGTCTCGAGAGTCGACCTTCCGTGACTTCTACTTCAGACCTATTGAGCACATCGCATCTCAGGTGATAGCACAGCTTTGAACTTGCATAATATGAGCCTCCGTGTCTTTAATAAAATTCCCAGATTTTACTATTAACATGACGTAAAGTCATGATTTTATTAAAGACACGGAGGCGAGTATTATTCCCTCCCACCCTCCCGGTGTGGGGTATGGAGCGAGATGCGATTGGTGTACTCAGGTATGTTGAGATTTGGCCTGCCTTGTGAGTACTTCATGTGTTGTATTGCATATACTGATTAATTATGTCTATTATATTTTTCAGATTTCATTCCTTTAACCATATGAATGGTCGTTAGTTTTGTATTGGTAAGTCCACAGTTTGGAGTTTGGTTATTACCATATTTCTCTCTCTTTTTTAGCTTGAAATTGTCGGATTGTTCCAGTTCCCGGTTTTGGCCAAGCAAGATATCGTTTTACTTACCTGGTCTTCGGTTTTCGCAAGAAAGAGGGGGATTGTGGGAGACACAGGCTTTATATAGTCACTTCCTCTGTTATGTGATTGGTTGCCTGTGTATCTATGCAGTTTTTTCTTTCATTTTTGATATATTTATATTCCTCTATCTTTGCTGCTGAGGAAATAAAGAAAGAGTTATGCATAATACTCGCCTCCGTGTCTTTAATAAAATCATGACTTTACGTCATGTTAATAGTAAAATCTGGGAATTACGGTGTTACAATTTTTTGTTACCATCCAACTCTTGTAGCGCAATCTAGCAGTTTATTTAGAACATACATCTAGACCAGGAGTTCCCAATTAATTTTTCCCATGAAACCCTTTGACATAATGTATGAACATCGTGGAAACCCCCCCTGAAAAAAAAAAGTGCCGTTTTTTTGAATGTGTCAGTGTGTATATCTGTGCTTGTATGTGCCAGTGTGTGTATGTGTATATCTGACACACAGATACACACACACATTTTGACACACAGTGTGCATGTGTGTGTGTGTGTGTGTGTATGTATGTATCTATCTGTGTGTCAAGGTGTGTCAAAGTGTGTGTATCTGTGTTTGTATGTGTCTGTGTATCAAGGTGTGTGTATCTGTGTTTGTATGTGCCAGTGTGTATGAATCTGACACACAGATACACACACACTGGCAGAGAGTGGCACACAGATACACACACTGACACAGATACACACACCTTGACACAAAGTGTGTATCTGTGTGTGTATGTATCTGTGTGTCAAGGTGTGTGTATCTATGTTTGTATGTGCCGATGTGTCAAGGTATGTATATCTGTATTTATATGCGTCAGTGTGTGTATCTCTGTGTCAGTGTGTATCTGTGTGTGTGTACGTGTATATGTATCTGACACACAGATACACAAACACACAATGAAACACAGATACACACTGACACACACATACACACACATCTTGAGTCACAAATACACACACACTCAGATACACATAATAACATATACACACAATTGCACCCACAGATACACACTGGCACATACACACACTGACACATACAGACACACACACACTGCTACACACACACAGGCACATACAAACACACTGATACACACTGGCACATACACACACACTGACACATACACAAACCTTGACACACAAATACACACTCAGACACACATACTCTTTGACAGACACATACACGCTCACTGACAAACACACATACTCTTTTACAGACACAAATACACGCTCACTGACAAGCACACATTTACTCTCATTGACAAACATACATATACTCTTTGACAGACACACAAACTCCCTAACAGACACTCATACAATTATTTTTATCTTTATTATTAATTTTTATCTTTAGGAGTGCTGGCATGGAGTCCCTGTGGTCCAGGTGGGCGCTGTTGAGCGGTCCCTGGGGACCAGTGGGGCTGCTCAGCAGCTGGCGTGAGGGCGGCGAGGGAGCAGTGATCTCTCTGCTCAGCTCCCACACACGCCTCTTAGTGATGCCGGAGTGACATCATATTCCGGCTCCAGCATCAATGCTGTGCGTGCGAGGGAGCTGAGCAGGGAGATCACTGGTCCCTCGCCGCCTGTGGCCATTTTATTTTTTTTATCTTTTGGCGGAACACCAATTGAGAAACTCTGATCTAGACTTCATCCTCAGTGACTTTCGTTTCTATTCTCCACTATTTTGAATTTTTCTAGTATATGTAAAATCCATATAGCAAAATTTTTGTACTAATACCACCCCCTTTTGTTCTCCCGGGTTTTTACCTTTTTAATTATACTTATTAAATGTTATATTTTATATGTGTTATTTTACTATATCAGTGATTCCATTAGGACAGATTATGCTCTCTCGCTCTCTTATCTAAATTGTCCCCAAGGGTTATTTCTCGTATATATATCTATAGCTTCCTACATGTTCTTTTTTGTAATTCACTTTGCATTTATTTACTAACAAACAAGTTATGGAGAATTAAAATCCAAATGGTAAATTAAGGTCAGCTTGTGTTGCAGTATAGAATAATCCAGTAATTTGCATATTTACTCTGCTATTGCTTGGTTAACAATCTCCTACTGACTACAGATTTGCAATTTCCTGGTGAATTCCACACATATCTCACAGTTTAATGAAAACCCTAACACTTGGTGTCAATGCTCGGTCTATTCACTAAACGGTGATTTGCAGCGAGCAGGAAACCCACATTCAAACTTCAGGCTGGAATGGGTGAAAGAAATCCACCCTCCAGCCCAGCCTGAACAGCAAAGCTCAGCTCCCCATCCACTCAGTGTGCACAGGACTAGAGCCCCAAAGCATGTCGGGAGCTCGTGTCCGCGCACAGGATTGTGGGAGCTCGGAACGCCAGGCTCAGCGGATGACGCATGCGCCGTGTCCCCGCCGCGCGGCATTGTGGGTCGCGATGTGAGTGGCGCAGGGTCGGAGTTGCCGCCATCTTGTCGTCATTGGTTGGCTGCTGTACGGCGCAGGCCGCAGGTCGGAATTTACCGGACGAACAGCCGCCGTGTGCCGGTTTACCCACTCCAGTGTCACCGCGGGGACATGGGCCGCTCGCGCAGCCGCAGTTCGTCCAGGTCGAAGCACGTGAAGAGCAGCAAGCACAACAAGAAGCGGAGTCGGTCCCGGGAGAAAGAGCGGGTCAGGAAACGCTCCAAGTCCCGGGAGAGCAAGAGGAACCGGCGCCGGGAGTCTCGGTCAAGGTCTCGGTCTAACACGGCTTCCCGCAGGGAACGGGAGAGGCCATCTTCCCCGCCGGACAGGATCGACATATTCGGGCGCAATCTGAGTAAGAGGAGCTCCCTGGACGAGAAGCAGAAGCGGGAGGATGAGGAGAAGAAGCTGGAGTACGAGAGGCAGCGGCGGATGTGAGTGTGTGGCTGGGAGTGCTGGGGGTGTGGGAGTGCGAGTGCTGGGGGTCTCTGTGATGGAGCAGGCCCTGGCTAGCGCTAATCTGGCTTGGGCCTAGGGTGACTGCACATGGCATCATGGGAAACGTAGTGCAGAGCAGCTGGAGTGCCATTGAGGGGCTGAACTGCGGCCATGTTATCTGTAAAATGCAGCTTAATCCCACTGGGGCAGGCCAGGCCTAAAGGGAGGTAGTTTTGACATTCTGGACAGGCAAGCCATGTGGTAGTTCTGCAGTGGGGCTATTATTTTTTTTTTGTTGTTGCATTGATCATTTTAGGTGAATTGTTAAAAGGCGGAGTATTATGTGAAACCATAAAAGTTTGAAATGCCAAACAATTAGGCGTCACAGATCTTGAAATTCCAGTGCAATTAAAGTATACCAAAAGGCAAATTTAGGACTACAGTGAAGATGGCAGTACCTTTCAGGGAGAGATTCAGGTAAGCATAGCTTCTCCCACTGGCTTCTACAACACAAGTTCTCCTATAAACTTTTTATTATTATTATTTTTCAGCAAAATATGCAGACTCCAAAAAGTGACAAGTGTTTAGTCCATGTTTTTAACTGCATTAATTGGGTTAGCAAGTCAGGTGACATGTTCAACCAATAAATTCAGTTGCTTTTTAAATCTTTCACCCATTGCAGGTGGAAGTTAAAACATTTAACTGTGACTGGCTGTGGAACAGAATCAAGCCAGCAGCTCACACTGATCCCTAATTGGCTGAACTTTTTGGCTGCAAATCTAGAAGATGTAACATGTGGAGTTTTATGTCCAGAGTGTTTCTCTTAAAGTGGCACTGTCGACTTGCGGCCACTTTGCATAATTTGCGCAGACTCATGATGGTGACTTCGCCACTCTTACGCAATGGGTAAATCTTCCGCTGTCTAGAAGTGCCAATCTCCAACCGTCACCAGTGCAAGGAATTGGTACTGTCTATGGAGGATCCTGCAGGACCCTCCATATACCTCAATGTTGCATTCTCGTGCAAGAGTACATCAGTGTTGTCATCTCCTGTCGCTGAAGCAGACCTGCTGGAATTGTCCGCTAGACCAGATTAGTGTAATTTAAACTTGCGCTGCATTAAAATACCAACACTACAAACAAACATGCCCCTACATTTAAACACATAACTTCACATAAACACACACTTGCATTCAAACACCAACACTACACACAAACATACAACTGCATTCACACACACATGCTCCATACAAAACATGCCTACATTCAAACACAAATGCAAGTATGAGAAAAAAGTAGATCCAGCTTTATCCCCTATAAAGCATTGTGTGAGTTGCACAACAGTTGGTCTACCTTTCGGCCTTTCTTGCGCAAGAGGAGGTCCAAAAAAGGTTCTTGTGCCAAGGCCCTCTCTGTATTTTTTTTTTTTTTAATATCTATTATTATACCAGCCTCATGGGCAACTCCAGCTTCTTCCAACTGGTCCTCTTCTACCGACAACAATGCTCTACTCTTGCACAAGAGTGCAGCATTGAATTCTTTGAGGAGTCTCATCGGATTGTCCATAGACAGTTCAGTCAACAATCAGTTTTCCTGGCACTGCAGGTCCTCCTCTCCCTCCCAATCCCTGGTTGCTGAAGGGGTGAAAACCCCTTCAGGTCACTTACCTGAGACCCCGCCGATGTCCCTCGGCGTTGGTTTCTGCTCACCACCGCTCCTGCCAGTCATTACGTCGGCTGGTGGGCGAGACTGATCCCGCCCACCGGCCAGGGAGGTGGAGTTAACCCTGCAAGGGAATTATTGCAGTTTATAAAAAAAAAACTGCAATAATTACACTTGCATGGTTAAGGGTTGTGGGAGTTGGCACCCAGACCACTCCAATGGGCAGAAGTGGTCTGGGTGCCTGGAGTGTCCCTTTAAGCTGTAGTTGTTCTGGTGACTATAGTGTCCCTTTAAATGAACAGAATATTGTCAATCGGCCCAAAAGGTGACTGTTAATCTGTATCGACATTGCACCTGGAAAAAAGTATATCGGTCTCAGTATATCTTTTGCCTGGGATGGAATTTCACTGAAATTCCAACAAAGTCAATAAGAGTATTTTCTAAATATTTTATTTTTACGAAATTCTCATTTTGTAGGAGAGCGAGGTGAGAGTGCCATTTTAAGCAGCTGTTTTTTTTTTTTATTAAAAGTGGTCCTGTTGTCGAGCTTGTAATTGCAAGTTGTATCTTACTAGCCAGGCGTACTCATCACTACAAAACTCCCTTTGCACTTCTGCATAATTTCTGCACATGAGGAGGGCAGTTCTGCAGTGAGACCTAGGAATAGGGCAGCAGGATATATAGACACTTTGACCTCAAATGGTTCATGCACCATGAATCATTTCGTAGCCTAGACTGTGGATGCATTATTGGCATTGCAGTATGCATTGTGTAGCGGTTAGTGGACTCCATGATTGTAGTCTTTAGCACTATGCCAATGAAGTAGCAGCAAAAGCTAAGAAAGACAGTAATTAAAGGACCACTCTAGGCACCCAGACCACTTCAGCTTAATGAAGTGGTCTGGGTGCCAGGTCCAGCTAGGCTTAACCCATTCTTTTATAAACCTAGCAGTTTCTGAGAAACTGCTATGTTTATGAATGGGTTAAGCCTTCCCCCATTCCCTCTAGTGGCTGTCTCATTGACAGCCACTAGAGGCGCTTGCGTGTTTCTCACTGTGATTTTCACAGTGAGAGCATGCCAGCGTCCATAGGAAAGCATTGAGAATGCTTTCCTATGTGACCGGCTGAATGCGCGCGCAGCTCTTGCCGCGCGTGCGCATTCAGCCGACGGGGCGGATCGGAGGAGGAGAGGAGGCAGAGAGCTCCGCCCAGCGCTGGAAAAAGGTAAGTTTAACCCCTTTTCCCCTTTCCAGAGCCGGGCGGGAGGGGGTCCCTGAGGGTGGGGGCACCCTCAGGGCAATATAGTGCCAGGAAAACGAGTATGTTTTCCTGGCACTATAGTGGTCCTTTAATATAATGGGAAAAGCTTTTCACCTGTATAAATTTGCAAGTATGTTTATTAGTATAATGATAAAATTGTAATAGTTTACGATATTAATTACAGTGAAATCATGGAACCCATACATTATTTGCAATGCTGTGAGAACTACTTATTTTAGCTTTGTTGAAATCTAAATCTTATTCCTTACAGCAGGCAACAAGAAATCGAAGAAAAACTCATCGAGGAAGAAACAGCACGACGTGTGGAAGAATTGGTTGCCAAGCGTGTAGAGGAAGAATTGGAGAAAAGGAAAGATGAAATAGAAAGAGAGGTTCTGCGCAGAGTCGAGGAAGCTAAACGCATCATGGAAAAACAGTTGCTCGAGGAACTCGAGCGACAGAGACAGGCTGAACTAGCTGCCCAGAAAGCCAGAGAGGTAACGCTCGGTCGTTTGGAAAGTAGCCACAGTCCATGGCAAAACTTTCTCAGTTTTTTCTTTTTTGGTTTTGCTCTCTTTGATATGTAATGAGTAGGCATTTCATTTATGGTGTTTAACACTTAACTTTCAGAGCTCTGAGCTGGTTAAATGTCATTGCTCTTTTCTTGTACCCTTTGGTATAAAGGGGGTTTACAGCCTGTTTGTTTGGTTCCACTTCCCTCCTATACCAATGAGGTTCATTGTAAGTTTGTTTAATGTATCAGAAACTTTTGCCATGGCTGTAGTATTTTATACATTTGAGTCCACTCCAAATCCTTTAATTGAATACTGTAGCAAATGTTGACTGATGTGCCATGCCATTGAAAGAAATGAAGCATTTGGCCTATGAGCTACAGTAACTGGAAATGAACTTTTTTTTTAATATAATTTTTTTTTTTTTTTTTTCATGAACCAATTGTTAGCCATTTTGTTTCTTTTTTTCACAGCCCTGGGGTTTATTTCCTTTTTAATCTAAACTTTTAAGCACTCTTGCTATTAATGTGCTTAATAATTTTGTGATAACCAGTTATTTGTCCAATCCATTAACAAATCTGAGTACCTAGTCATAACATCCTTTTCTCCTCTAGATATCTCTGAAGAGACTCTAATCCAAATTGTGTATATAAAAATATTGCTTTTCAGCAGGTGGAGCAAAAGCTGAAAGTATATCAGTTATTGGCTACCGAAACCTATTGTTTTCTGTACTGATCACTCCAGAATTGATGCACAATAAATTTCCTTTACAGTTTTGACACATTGCCAGATTTGAAATTGACTCGATTCTACTCAGTGAGTTCAGAATACTTAATTAGGCAGTTAATCTGCATGTTTTATCTATTACATCTATTTCCCTTTATTGTTTGGGTACTTGTTTTTACATTTTTAGGCTTCTGTGTCTTTACTAACGTCTAACTATGCGTCTTATGCTTAAACATAAGTTATACGATTATGCTTTAAGTTGTAACATAGATATAAAAAAAAAAAGTAAAGAAGGTTTTGCATTCCCCCTAGTTGTATGGGAAATGGTTGAAGAATGCAAAATCAAGCGGTAGGCCTTGTGCTAGCAAAGTTGCGGTCAAACTTGTAGTCGTCAAATTAAAGGTATTTCAATTGTTTCCTCCTTTCAGTGACTCCCTTACTCTGGTAAGGTATTTCAATGAAGTGTGTGGCAGAAAGGGATATATACACATGTAGTAAAATATGTACTAGAACTAGTCTGTAGATTGACATTCACCACATGGCTGTAGCAACCATCTATTTCACATGTTTCATTTTCATGCAGTACCAGAGGGCTCACCTGATTGGAAGGGTGCATAACAATAAAATATCCTACTAAATATTTTTTTTCATCTTCAGTTACTTTAAATATTATTTGATTAACAGGTTCCTGTTAAATATGCACTTTGTTAATTACAGCAATTTGTGGAGTTTTGTTTTGGCAAGCATGTCACAAGCACACATGCTGTATTCATCTACATCCTTTGCCGTTGCCATTTTACATATACAATTTCCTCATTGTGGTGTCTGCATTATTACTTCGCCATTGATAAGAATATGAAAAATAGCTGAGACTTTTTGGAATTTATTTTAAAGGTGCATTCCCCTTTAACGCAGACCTTTAAAATGAGCTCATTGTATTTTGGGTGTAAATATTTAGCCTATTTTGGAAGTATGTGTAGTCGATCTATAAAACCAGATCATTTAAAACCAAAAGAGAGATTACAAGCATCTTGTTTATTTAACTTTGCTTGTGTGAATTAATGGATTGCACCTTTAAAGAAACATAACAATTTTCTTTTCTTTTTGTTTTTAAATCCCCTGGTTCCTCAACATATGGATTGATAGTTGTGTTTGGTTAACAATTATTGTTTGTATGTTATGAATTGTTTGCCTTAGGAATGATGAATTAAATATTTTTGTTCCCTCTTACAAATGAACATCTGCATTCCTCAGTTCAGCCTTCCTTTTATGTTTCTTATAATTGGTTGAGCTGCCGATGGCAGGTGTTGCCAAGCTAACAGTACAAATCATTTTAAAGAGGAAGCTGGCGCGTATGGCAGCTGAGGAGCACACTCTGCAGGACACTGGACAAGACAGTAAATATTCAACTTTTAATGCTGATTAAAGGAGTATAGGTAAAGAATACGTAGGTATACGTTATTGGTGAGACAAATTATTCCCTTTATCTTTATATTTAATTTTTCTTTTTAATTTCATAAATGCTACCCAGTTCTGTAGTTGTCCTTGTTGATATGTGTGACTTTTTTTAGACATAAAAAAAGCAAAATCTTTAATGGTTAGGACTTGCTAGGGAGGGTTTAATTGGTTGCTGTTTGGATTGGGAGGGTTGAGCTGAATTTAGTGCTAGAAGATGTCTGTAGTGAATTCTCAATTTCATGTTTTCTTTCTGTTTTGTTTTGGTTTTTGTTTGTTTTGTTTTTGGTTTTTTGAAAAAGAAAAATGGTGGCTCTTGTGCTGCCCCTTAAATCCCTAAAAGAGTTAAGGCAGATTATAGGAAGATAAAAACAAATAAATACCACCTGTTTTTAATATTTCCTTGTGTCCTCCATTTAGGAAGAAGAACGTGCTAAGCGTGAGGAGCTAGAGCGAATACTTGAAGAAAATAACCGTAAAATTGCTGATGCACAGGCTAAACTGGTAAGACTTTTCTTTCTATTTGTAAACCAATTTTTAGTGGAATTACCTATCCAGTTCAATTGGCTACTTTCTGAGAGATAGATATATATTTATATATATATCTTTTTTTTGCAGTGTAACAATTTACAAACATGCCATGACATCGTTGACAAGCTTTCAATAGCACACATATTTATACATAGGTTTGGCATGTAAGGGAAGTGCACTATTTTAAAATATATTGAGAATAAGTGTGAATCAAAACAGATAGAAATGATAATTCTACTGAGAATTTTGATTGCACAAAAGGAAAACAAGGAGAAAGCCACCAAGTAGATTAGTCACTAAGCTCATGACAGTAGTGCTTTAAGTCAGGATGCATAAGATAGACAAACTGTAATTATGCATTATGCTGCAAACAGTAGCTTGGAAAAATAATAGTGGTAACTGAGCAAGTGTTTATGCTCGGGTCAGCTGAACACAGTCAACTCAGCCCACACCTGTATCTGCAAATCTGGGTTTAGGAAGGTGCGTTAGGGGAAAAAAAGGGCTTACTGGGGCGCAGCATCGTGCAGCATCACCGCAGCCCCAGGCGTGATCGGGAACCAGCTTCAAACACCAGCAGGCCCCCTCATTATCTCTAAACAGAAGCCTCCGGGTCCCGGGTGGCGGTACTGTACTCTGGTGTGTGGGTTGCGGATGGTTATACGTAACTTGGTTCCTCGCTGAGGAGAACGGCACTGAACAGATACATTGGCTGGGGGCTGTGCTGGAAACGGTCAGTGTAGGCTGCTTTCGACGATCTTCCCAGCTCCTCCAAAACTGCTGACACGTGGCTTTAAACGATGCAGAAAATTGTGTTTCCCATTTTTGAGCAGCAGTAGCTGTGCTGTCTGCCATCTTGGACAGGCCACATGTAAGCCTCCTTCACAGGAGTAAGTATATACTTGGTGGAGGCTGGGACAACACCAACCAGCCCAGAGGAGAGGGTGGGTGGGCGGGGGTAGTACGGGACTCTGAGCATCCACAGAGAAGCAAATCCAGGGCATCACAGTCAAAGAAATCGGACGATTTTCCCACCAGGCCACAACAGGTTAGAGGCCTCAGCCGCTCTGCACGTGAATGACCGGTTCGGATACCCACTTCAGATTTGCTCAGAAGTACCAGACGAGGGTACTCGTGGTAAAAGTCCAGTTTTAGGGATTGTTCACCGTTAAAGTTGCTTTTAATGCAAGATTGGTCTGGAGCTCAGTGTATCCGTGACACCGCCCCTCACCTTCATAGCTTTTTTAAAAACACATCAAAGCCCATTCCTAACCATAACTAATCTCCTTTTCACCCATCACTTAAAGGGACTCAAACATGTATTCCTGATTCTACAGTGTTAAAAAAAAAAAAAAAAACAGGTTAGCCTCTCCTTACCTCCCTTAAATAACTAGAAAACTCTCCTTAGTTCCGCTCTGGCTCCTCCCCAAATCCGCAACCTTGGCTGACATCAGAATTGATTATTTCATCGGCAAGCATTGGATTTGTTGAGATAGTCAATTCTTATGATCTCGGCCAAGAAGGCGAAGCCAACCGCGCCTCCCTTGCCAATCTCCTCGTAGGGATGCATTGGAGTGCATCTCTACAGGGAAAGTTTAGCACTTAATGTCAGTGCTGTACACTCTGCAGCACTGACCATTAAGCAACTCTAGTGACTAGTTTTTCTCTGAAAAGGCAGTATGTAGATTGAATAGCCTGCAGGGGCATGCTGTACACACCAGTTAAGCTGTAGTTGTTCTGGTGACTTTAGACATGTAATTTTTATTTTAATCTTATTATAAGATTATACTTGATTGCAGGGTTTTAAAAGTAAAAATAATCTGATACAATTATTTCTATAGCGCCAGCATATTTGCAGCGTTCTACAATAAGAAACAAGACAAACATTTAATTCTAACAAAACATGACTTATGGGAACAGTAGGTGCAGACAACCCTATCCAAAAGAGCTCACAATCTAAAGTGAGTTATCATTTATTTATTTATTTTTTCTGGTCTAGTGCAATCCCGTGTGGACATTTTAAAGGAACACTATAGTGTCAAGAATACAAACATGTGTTCCTGGCACTATAGTTTTAATATCGATCTTAAGGTTTCCGCACCCCTGTTTAATAAGGTGCTTTACTCACCTTATTTCCAGCACCGCACCGGTCTCTTCATAGCTGGCCCCACCTCCTTGACTGACATCATTTAGCAATCTTTACCAATCCAATGCTTTCTTATGGGAAAGAATTGGGAGGCTTTTGTGCATACGCAGCAAAATGCTGCGCCTTTCCGCATTTCCTCATACAGATGCATTCAATCAATGCATCTTTATGGAGCTCATTCAGTGCTTCCATGCAGAGCATGGAGAAGCTGAACATCAGCACTGACCCAGGAAGCACCAACTAATGTCCGTCTGAGTGACCGCCACTAGAGGTGTTACTAGGCAGTAATGTCAACACTGCATTTTCTCAAAGCAGTGTCCATTTTAATAAAAGAAAGCCCAGTACAGAAACACAATGTACAGTATGTGAATTTCATGCCTATGCATAGCCACCTCCCAAACTAAATTGCAGTGTGCTTCTCTTCTTCGGTTTGTTAGTATATGACTATCGTGAATATAGATCTACTGTTATGTCTTCCTGATTCAAGCCTTGGACAAAAGCGGAAGGAGAGGGGCAGAGCTAATGGCACTAGACTCAACTCTTCTTTAAAGGACCACTATAGTCGGCATGTAAAAGCAAGAAAGACAGGTCCCCTCCATCTATATATAGTGTTTGCAATCAAACACACACATTATGAATATATTGTTAGACATACACACAGTCATTTTTCATATTTCTATATATCTCTTTCTATCTATCCATTTCTGTCTGCTACTCGCGCTCTCACTCACTCACATTCACTCTTTCCCTCACTTTCTCACACTGATAAGATGAAATAAGGGTTAACTGGCAGCACCCGGGGACAGGGGGTTGAGATGAGTGGGAACTGGCAGCACCGGGGGCGGTGAGATGAGAGGGTAAATGGCAGCACCGGGGGCGGTGAGATGAGAGGGTAAATGGCAGCACCGGTGGGGGGTAAATGGGAGCACCGGGAGCGGTGAGATGTGGGGGTGTAAATGGCAGCACTGAGGGTGGGGGGGTGTAAATCTCTGGGTATTTTAGCTGTGGCAGAACAGTACCAGCTACATTATATAATATGGATTATACTACTTGACCAGCCCTGACCAGATTCACCATGCTCCTACCGAATCTGTAGCATCTTCCTTCCTTCTCTTAGACCTACAACTTCTGTTACAGTGATCAGACCACACGCTCTCCGCTCAAATCCTGCCTTCCCAAAGGAGGCCATGTCCCTTACCCTCAGCAGGGCTAAAAGCTCTATTTAAAAAAAAAAAAAAACAGCGTGCCTAATGTGCAGAACGGCATGCAACGGGTGTTGGGTGATATAAATTCACCGTGCCTGTGTATTATATTTGAGAGATTGCTGATCGCTTCCTGTATGGTGATATGTGTTAAGGTCTCTAGCACAGGGCTCAACATATACAAGCCAGCCTTAGAAACTGGTTTGGCCCTCCATATGCTCTCCCATGCAGCTTTCTGACTGACAGCACTAGAAGGATGTGACATCACATCTGCTCAGTACTATGAGCTCAAAATTCCAGGTAATAGTCTGGTCTAGGAAGTTAACTCTGAATCAGATTTTGTTTTGTCCTCTTTGAGCAGTGTCCGGTGTATGAATGGAAGTGGTGGGTATATTGTGAGAGTTTAATGTGTATTAATAAAGTGTGTATGTGAGACTTAAATATGTTGTGTGTATGCAAGAGTGTTAGTTTGTGTGACTATAAGGGAGATTTTATGTGTAAATAAAGGGGTATTTTGTATCAGCCTTGTCATTTAACTGACAGTTTAAACTCTTTAATTTTCAGGCTGAGGAGCAATTGAAAATTGTTGAAGAACAAAGGAAAATACATGAGGAACGGATGAAATTAGAGCAAGAGAGACAACGTCAGCAGAAAGAAGAGCAAAAAATTATTTTGGGCAAGGGAAAGTCAAGACCAAAATTGTCTTTTTCATTGAAAAGCCCAGATTAACAGGGGCCACTGAACATTTTCTCATCAAATCAAGACTATGTATGATAGCTTCATGTTGAAGTGTATTTGTTTTTTTTTTTTGTTTTTTTTTAATGGTTTTTTTTTAATGGTTTTTTTTTATGTTTGTTTTTTTTTTTTCCCAAAGTCTGGACTGGAATGTCAGTTTGTTATAAAAGGGGCTGTGCTCTGAATCCCTTATTTTTTATATATAATTTGTTGAATGAAATATGTCAAATCCTTACCAGATCACTACCAAGCATTTCACAAATTATGTATCATTACCTCTATAGAAATCTTAATACATTGCTATGTGGTCTGATAAGGTTTTAACTGACACGTCTAGTATAATTCTCCTCCTGCCCCTCAGACATGCGGTTTCCTCTAATCTGAAATTTTACAAAGCGTTAGGTTGGTGTTTGCATCCATAAAGTGCCACAGTATTTTGGAGCTTTGTAGTGTATTATAAAATGTCCTTATAATGCTTTTCCACTTGCCCTTGATGTTCCTGGTACAGGTAAGGATATCGGTGATTTAAAAAAAAAAAAACCTCTCCCGGAGTCTCTCTAGTACAGTATTGTCCGTTAAGAAATGTTTTTAAATACATTATTGCAACCCAGCCAGCGCTCAGCTATGTAAAAAAAATAACACCAATTTGCTGAATAAAGTCTTAAGTGCTTCACATATGGTTGTGAATGTTTTAAAGGTATTTATTATTGGAATGAAAACACACATTCAGCATTTTCTAAGGCAAAACCTTTTAGGTGTTTGTGTATTTATCTATTTTTCCTTGCTGTTCTATGAATGTTGGTTTTATGCTAACTGCATCCCATATTGCAGCTGTAGTATCATGTTTAAACAGCTGTTTGATTTAACTGCCTCAGACAAATACCTAGCGCCTCCTAATTATAACATAAAAATGCATGCAGTAGCAATCAAGTAAATTCATCATCTTCAATAGAAAGAGCATTTTGGAAGCTAAGAAATGTTTCTGCAAATGAAGAGCAGTCATTGCAGGAGCTACAAAATACAGGTCCCATCAATGCAAATGTTCAACAATTAAATTTTCTCTCACAAAACCGCTATACATGTGTTTTCATTCAAGCAGAAAAGCTTCACATTGTGTTTTCTTTTCTGAAAGGATTTATTGTAAGTGTCCATGTCCTCCAGAATCTGTAAAATAAACTTTTTTTTTTTTTTTCATGGGTTTTATTTTAACTTTTAAGTATGTATATTTTAATTTTGGTATCCAAAGCAACAGTTTATTTTTAATAGGTGTGGGTCTGCTCTAAAATAAAACATGAACTGCATTTTGTGACTTTTGTACCAAGCATCTGTGTAGTATTGTATTTTGTATTTTTTTTTATGGCTTTTTTTTTTTTTTATATATATATCTAAGTCTCACTTTTTTATGTTCGTGTATAATTTTTAGATTGTGTATTCCCAGCCCTTAAATATAGTAGCCTAAGTAAATTTAAAAAAAAACTGCAGTTACAATTTATTCAAAGATCATAGATGTATAACTAAACAAACCTGCAGTTTGCATTGTTAAACAAATTTGGCAATTGTGAGTGAGATTTGCTAATCATGCCAGGTGGTTATTACTAATTTGTATGTGTGTGTACTTTTGGTGGCGGAGACGTGATGAAACACAAGTGCCAAGAATTTCAATTTGAAAGTCTTGGTTATGAATGAAACTAAACTGTTACATGATCACTCTTACCACCAAAACCACTAACGTTTAATGTACTGTTTGTAGAAATTGCAATGTTTACGTTTTTCAGACATATTACTTGAGGCACTTCTTACTCAAGACCTTCATATTTTGAAGGCTTGCACATTCAGTATCAGCATGCAAGCTTGAAAATGCCAGCCATCTAATGCTTTTCATAGAGAAGCATTGGATTTAGCAGATCATCAGAGATGGTTTTGGAGGAGGCAGAACAGCTAACAAGAGAACTGTCATGGCATTGGAATATAGGTTTTGAGTAAGTTTTTGTGTTTATAAAAGGGATTTATGATTTGAGATACTAAAATAACACACTAAAGTTAAATGGTTAAAATAAACCTTTTTCCACTTACCATTCATCTGGGGGGGGAGGGGGTTGTTGTTAACATTCATGCAATGGAAACACATTGATTCAATGCTTTCCTATAGGGATTTTATGGACGCTCCATATCCTCCTGCATAGCATGAGGAAATCCAGCGTCTGGCGACCAAAAGTCAACTAGCCACCAAGAAGTGTCTCTGACAGTCACTAGGGGCAATCTAAATCCTGCAATGTAATTATTTAAATTGTGCAACTGGGTCAGAACCTCAGTCACTTAAAGGGGTGTAGCCATGAAAATAGCCGGAGCTGGACCTATAACATTGTTGACCTGTTATTTTATTATTTATATAGCGCCAGCAAATTCCTGTAGTGCTGTTAAGCATAAAATTTAGATTTCAAAAGTAGCTTCCTTCCTAATTGCTCTGAAGGGCAGGGAAAATAACAGTCATCAAAAAGGCCTTCTTAAACAGTTTTGTTCTGTTTCCTGACATATCAGCTGTGAGTGAGCAGAATTTGCCTAATTGTATATAGTGCCATGATTAGCCAGGAGAGAAGGAAAATAAGGTTGAATAAAGATATAGCACATATGTTCTCGTTCTAAAGATACAAAGTATCCCTTGCCATGAAAGTTATAATAACGAACAAAGCACGTGGTATATAAAAAGCTCCTCAATAAATTACTAGATATAAATAGGTTACAATATCAAAGGGATTCGATCGTGCCAGGAAAACAAACTCATTTCCTTGGCATTATAGATTTCCCCTGTGTCAAGTCCTCCCTCACACAGCATTGAAGGGGTTAATAACCACTTCAGTCACTTACCTGGGTGCAGCGCCAATGTCCCTCTAGGCTCAGCTCTGCCCCAGCTTGCATTAGGATCTCCCCATAGGAAAGCATTATTTATAGAAAAATTTGACGCTGGAAGTCCAAAGGCCGAGTGTGAGGACGTCCAGTGTTGGATAACGGATCAAAAGTCCAATTCAATTCAGGAAGTTCCTCTAGTGGCTGTCTACCTAGAGGAAGAGTTAACCCTCAGAGATAATTATTGCAGATTATAAAAACTGCAATAATTATCCCTACAGGGTTAAGGGTGGTGGGAGTTTGCACCCTGGGAGGGCATTTATGGGACTACGATATAGAATATTTACCTCAGCAGGTAACATTGAACATAGTAGATGGGAGTTTTTTTGCTAAACAAGAAAGTATGGAAAGTTGACAAAGTAATTACCGTATAGAGGTCAAAGTTTACATTTTGAATCCCACTTTCCATTAACAAATTCACAGTTGACAATGTTGACCTAAAATCTGTAAGTCTCTCATTCCCTTGTTTAGTGAATAAAGCTCATCGTGGTAACATGCATAATATAGTTACATTATGACGATGGCAGATTAAAAACATGACATGATTTATAGAAAACCTATATATCCATCAGAGCTAATAATTGAGTATGTCAATTAAATATTAATGACAATGTAAAGAGGAAAGAAACAATAGGTAATTAGGACCCTGCTAAACCAAATGCATATCTGTTCATAGGTTCTATTATATATAATATGTATCAATTTACTCAAAGGGACTCCGTGAGATGATACTGGATGTCCTCACGCTTTGCAGTCAATGCGCATTAGGTTTCTGGATAATGCCGACAGAGGAGACACCGGGCAATCCAGTGCAGAGGTCAATCATGTAAGTGTAAAAATGGTATTCTAACCCTTTATTTTCCAGTGGGGGACCACCGGGGCAGAGGGACACAACATTGTTAGGAATACACTTTTTAGTATTCTTAACACTATAGTGTTCCTTTAAGAAACCGTACTAGATCTGCAATGTTATTATTTTATATGTTTAAGGCCGAAGGCCTGTATTTGTGGGAGGAGTTAGCGTTACTAAATAAATGCTACTCCCCCCTTCTTACCTTACGCCGTACGCACGCTGTTCACCTCCTCTCGTCAAGCCGGACTTCTGGTTCCCGACAGCGTGCTTCCGGTCCCATCATTCCGCGCTGCCTTCCTGCCAAGCAAACGCACGAAACTACAATCTATCGAATGCCAGGTAATCGGCATGAATAGCTGCGTTCGGGCTATTCCCGCCGTTCGACAATTGCAATTCATCAGTCACACTTTCATACGAACGCATGAAACCTGCAAACAGGTTTCCTTTCGGTAGAACCATTTGTTACATTTACTTATTTATATTAATTACTGTACACCTATATGCTTGTTGGAGAACTTGTTCTTGAGAAGGTATCACCTTACTATATACAGGTCCCAACCTTGAAGTAGTTTTAAGCACCCTGGTAATGTGCTCTACTACACATTGAACACATAGCTGTCACTCACACTCAGCTCTGTAACAATCCTAAATAAACAAATATCTCCCATGTGGAGCTCTATTGATCTGTTACCTGGATTCATTTATCATATGTTTCCCTGCTGATCTGGATTAATCAGTTAATCGCTTTACTCCATCTTGCCTGATTTAGATTTCATTATAATTATACTCAGTGTTTATTGTTTTCCTATATTATTTGTTTGCCTACAGCATGTATCGCGCGATCAATAAATACCATATTAATAATATATCAATTGTTTATTCTTTACACAGAGAAGTATGGCAGACATAAGGTAAAAAAGCGCTGCTCTAGAAATATTTCCCAATATTCGCCTAATATGACTATTTTGGCTTCAATCTGACAATTGAGTTTTCAATTCATTGCAAAACAACTTTTAGGGTATCCATGTAACAGACACATACATTGATGCTTAGGGTATCCATGTAACAGCTATATTATCGCAGATATGTTATACTTTTAAAGCTGCCAAGCAGTGAGATCAGTCTTATCGTTATACCCTAATTTCTAATTTATTCAAAGCAGCCAGACTTTGAACCGCTGTGAATTCCCTGTATTTATGCGTTTATTTAATAAATATATGATTTCATAATTCGTTGTATGAGGGTTAGTAGAGTACAAGAGTTGGTACACTTGGCTTATGTATCAATAGTAAATCTGGGGCAACGTTCTAAAAGCGTTTCAATTACCATGGAAACCAACTTAATGTACAACATTCTAGGATTTCTATATACTCTACGCTGTATTCTCCCAAAATTCCACATTGCTTCATTTCGCACTATTAAATCCAATCGAGAGATTTAATGACTAACTAATGATTGGCATTAACCCGTTAGTCACCACACATCATGTAAATCACTTCATATATCGTAATTTCTTTATGTTATATGCCTTAAATGGGGTAAATATCCACTCTTTCCCTCAGGAACAATAGATTTCGGTTTTATTCACTAAACAGCGTTTTGCCAACTCGCATCCTACATTAATGTAAACATAGCAAAACCCACAACTTTGCACAATTGGCCTTTTAATTTTTGCATAGCTTGTCATAAAGAAAAAAAAAAATCCCTTTTCTCCTTGTTATATGCTACCTCAATTTCAGGTTTCACAAGAGCATTTACTACAACCTGGTTATTACTCCACTAATTTCCGTGTTAATCAGGTACTAATTCATCTTAATTCACATTGCTATTTACTGCCTCTACAAGGCCACGCAACACCAAAAAGGGGTTATTAATACACAGGGGGCTTCATTTCTCGCCTTGCCTCATCAGGCCACGGCGACTACCCATCATACGTGATCATCAACTCTCTATCTCGCAATAAACATCCTGAACTCCTTTAACACCTTTCATTCCTTCACCATTTTTACCTCCATCAATAATACCATGCTTCAAGCACAATATTTTCAAGGGGTTTCTGGGGTATAGGGGTATTACTAACGTTAAACAAACGTACACTTGTTACACCTGCTATACCTAGTTCCTTTCCATTATTCCATCCAATATGTTGTATCATGCATTTACTGTTCCATCCGGCTAGGTTGAGTGAATCTTAATAACATTGTCCATTCATGTACTATTCTGGTTAATTATGGGTATGTAAGTACACAATGAACTGATATCTATATATAACTGTTACCTGCTAAGAATGGGGGAATGTCTATTGTCTTTTCATTTTGAGCCTCAACTGTTTTGAATCCGTTCATTTAAATCCCTCCCTCTGGGTAAGAATGCCCCTACTTTAAGTCCAACATTATCACGTCAATACATTAAAACATTGTTGTCAGATGATTCAGTCGGATAAGTTTGACACAATCTCCATTACATCTATATATGTTTCACTAATTTATATGGAGGTTGCCTATTACCGTCTGCTAAACAACATCTGATTAAGTTAGTTAATTTACATGTTTGGCGTAATTTAATACCACTAATTAAGAGGAGGCTGTTATATATTTAGAGGTCACCTAAAGGATAATTCCCTTGCAAAACAGCACCTTAATTTCAGGTTTCGG